TTTTTTATTGATAAATGAGAAAGAAAATTTTGAAAAATTTTTTAGTTTATCAATGCTTTACAGGTTTGATTAAATGTCGTTAATATCACATTTATTTAAATCACAAATATTTTAAAATATATTATTTTAAATGAAATTATTTATTTATTTATTTAAAGAAGTGTTTATTCATTGGGTTCAATGCCAACAGCTGAATTAATTGATCATGTTGAAAGATCATTTCTTTCTGCAACTAATCAAAAACAAGATCTTCAAAAAATTCCACTTTTACAAGAATTTGAAAATGAAATGAAAATTTATCAAGTAATTTATTTTATTCTTCGTTTTTTTTTTAAAATAAAATCTTTTTTTAAAAATATCTTCAATAGGCTTGTTTATCTGATTTATCATCATTACCTGATTGTTGGAATGTTCAATGGATTCGAATTGATTTAAGACCAATTAAACAAACATTAACAAGTCTTTCTCATAAATGGTTATGGAAATTCTGCGGTTATCTTCATGATCAGGTATTTATATATATATATTTAAAATAAAAAGTGATGTATTTTCTTATTTATTCTTGTAAAAAAAAAGACAAGTGAATCATTAAATAATGTTGATGGTTTTCTTGGTGCAATGGAACCTGAAATCGAATCTATAACTGGTCTTGAACGTGATACAGAAACATTTATGAAAATAATGCGTTTATTTAATTCAGTATCAAGTAAACAACAAGAAGTTGAAATACGTTTTGAACTAATGCGTCGAACATTATCATTATTAAAAATGTATTCATCATCAAATAAAAGTGAATCAATTTTACATGATAAATATCAAACAATAATTAATCGTTGGCAAAATTTAAAAACAAAAGTTATGCAAGCTAAACAACGTTTAGGACCAACATTAAAAGAAGAATCAACATTAATAATTGAAGATTTAAAATCATTTCAATCTAAAATTGATCAATTTATTATTGATCTTAATCAATCAAATTTATTTCAACATCAATTAACATTTATTCAAGCTCAAGCAATTTTAAATCAATTTTTAAATAGACAAAAACAACTTGATAAACAAGCACTTGATTATAAACAATTACAATCTTTATTAGATACAAATATTGTAGATTTTTCTAAATTAGATCTTTTTAGAGAAACTTTAAAACATTTAACACTTACTTGGAAAACTGTCAAGTTAGACATTTTTCATTTTTATTTTATATATATTTTCTTTTTTCTATTCATATAGAGATATTCGTCAAAATTTAGAAGAAATAAAACAAGAACAATGGCAAAAATTAGATAGTAAACAAGTTTTATTATCATCTGATAAACATCTTGAAAATTTACAATCACTTCCAAAATTAGTTCGATCTTGGGATATATATACATTTACTGAAGATCATATTAAAAGAATTAAAGTTTATTTCATTTTTTTCGTTTTT